CTGTGGACCAGATCAGGAGCAGCCTCCACTCTCACCACCCCTCCCCTCTCACATACTTGAACAAGAAGTGGTCACTCCTGGGTAGCTATCAACACTAAGCATCACCAGGTCTAATGCAAACAGAAGAGATGCAGAAGAAAGCAGACCCTGGGGAGGCTGAGAAAGTCCAGGTGGTGAACCAAGAGACCAGAAAGGCATCCTAGCAACCTTAAGGGTCTGCTGATTAGAAGACTATTTGGAGCCTGTGGGTTCCCAGATAATGCCCAGTCATTTTTTAAAAGATGATTTCTTACAAAATCTTTCCAACTGATAAAAAAAAATTAAGATCAGTCACTTTCTGTGCTAGTGGGTGCCTCCATGGTGGTTGGGGATATAAATTATATCATCTTTTTAAAGGAGCATATCTTTTGACCTTGAAATTCTACAGAATTGCCCACTGTGGTCTATAAAAAGCAGGAGACAGGGTTAAGAAGATGCCCAGGAACAAGGAAATGAAAGATTATACATCTTTTAATATAAAAATATACAACAACATAAAGAAATAATATGTAGTTTTTAAATATGAGGTAGATTTGGGTTGGCATGGAATAAATTTCTATGATATGTTGCGCTTTCAAATGTATTATATCACTGGGTGCAGTGGCACACGCCTGTAATTCCAGTGGCCTAGGGGGCCGAAGTGGAAGGATCATAAGTTCAAAGCCAGCCTCAGCAAGTTAGCAAGACTCTGTCTCAAAATAAAATATTTTAAAAATGGCTGGGGATATGTCTCAGTGGTTAAGTGTCCCTGGGTTCAATCCCGGTACAAAAAAAAAAAAAAAAAAAAAAGATGAAATGTTTTACATAGAACAATATTTTGTTTAAAAAACTTTCTCACAAAGGGTCAACTGCTTCATATAAGTGTTGATATCACCTTGAAAATAGTTTTCCTTCTCACAAAAAGCAAACAACATAGTTTACTGTTCACAAGTCAGGTATGTTCTCTCTCTTTCTCTGTAAGGAATGGTAAAGAATAAAATTTGGTAGTTTCAAGTGATTCCATTAATTAGAAATCATGCTTTTCTGGGTTTGGTTTTGTTGTAAATACAGAAAAAAATGCTTCTTGGAATCTCAAATGCAAAAGAAATATGATTGTCTGGTGTGCTGGACCCATAATTTCTGACAAGTTAAAAAAGTAGTAAGATGGATCAAAATATCCAATTTGCTGGGATGCGGGGATTTGTGGTTACCTAGCCATCAGCTGTGCGCAAAATCCTTCTGTGCCCCCTGCCCCCACTGCCCTGTGGGCAGTGTTGGTTCTAGGATGGAGGCCTCATGAAGGAGGGAGAGTCACTGAGAATCCTGCATGGGGCAGAGGCAGGATGTGGGGAAGGCAGCACGGTAAGTATCTCAACACTGCTCAGAGCTGCCTGAGGAGGAGGAAGGACTGCCTGGCCCTGGGCAGTGACAAGTTAGATTCCATTGTGATTTTTGAAAAGAAAAAAAAAAAAGGAAGAAAATATAGCCAAGCACAATGAGGGAGAGTGAGTGAGGGTAAGGAGTGGCAAGGCTGGTGACCCTAGGGCCAAAGGCTGGGGCCACTGACCAAGCTGCCAGTGTGACAAACACTGGTACCAGGGATGCTGCTTTCTTGTTTTAAAGACTTTCCTCTTCTTTTCCTTATTTTTTTAAAGAACATCAATAGGTTGGAAATTACTTTTGAAACCTTGTAAAGTAAGACAACATTTTAAGGAAATCCAAATACAACCTGTGTTTCAGTAAAGAAGGTACATTTTAGATGTTATTCACTCAACATCTTCTACTTCACTTGCTATCATCTCAAGTAACTGAAGACCCCAAAGAGGTCATCATTCCTGAAGTCCATTAAAAGCAAGGAAACACCCCAGGGGACAAGGTGACCACTGTCCCGGGTTTGCTCAAGTGTTTAGCCACAGTGCCTATTGAGTCATCACTCCCTGACTGGCTCAAGGTAAGCATACAGAAGGAGGACATTACTTTGTTGGGTTCAGTTAAATGCTTTCTGAGATCAAGAACCAGTGCTGGGCTCAGGATGCAGAGACGGATGAAGAATCATCCCTGCCCACAAAGTGCCATCTAAAAAGAAGTTGGCTTCAGATAATGGGAAGACCTCTGTCAGAGGGTATCAGCAGACAAAAGGAAGAACACTCTTCAGCCAGTCCTTGAAGGATGAGCTGCCAGGAAAAGAGCACAACATTCTAAGAGCTTGCATCTACACAACCCTGGAGAGTTAAAAAAAAAAAAAAAAAAAAAAAGAAAGATCACCTCTCCTTTCACTGTTGAGGAAACTGGCCTAGAGAACACAGGCTACTAGTTATTGGTATCTACATGATAAGGAGGCCCAGGCAAATGCCCAGAGGCTTATAGTTACCACACTGCAGAAATGGGATTTGACTCAGCTCCCACTAACTCCAGAGTCTTGACTCTAGATGTAAAAGCCATTAACCCTGAGTCTAAAGGGGCTAGAAGGAGGTACAACTAAGATGCAATTCCATCCCATCACTGAATGGACACCCCCAATGTTCCAGATGGGGGCATAGGCATGGGATGAGTAAAGCATTTTGCAACACAAAAATAATAGCATAGCTTCTGTCTGTCACTGCCTATTGGAGTCCATATCTCAAACAGAAGCCTGGCTAAGTGGGTCAACTCCATTCTGATTTGGTGAGTGGCTTAGCCCAGCCTTGTACTAAGCAGATACATGAAGCCAAAAACCCGAGGAGCCAAATTCAAAACCTAAAAGCCATAAGACACAAACACTGTATACGTGATACAAAAAAGAAAAAAGAACCCTGAGCAGCACTGTTGTGTTGGAGATAGTCTGATAGGGAAATCTCACAAAGTGACCAGAAAACAGTTTTCAGAACACACCGAATGAACCACTAACCTCTCGCCTCCCACTACCCGGCCCGGCTGTGAGCCATCAAGAACTAACTCATAGCACTGGGTCCTCAGACCACCAGAAACCACCATAGTCCCTTGGAGAGCTGTTCCCCTTGACCTTGGCTGGGACTTGGTGACAGCAGAGCAAGCCAAAATTAAAACTTTTTCTCCTCCCTATTCATTTCTGTCCCACATCATCCAAATTCCTCCTCTAACCCAAGAGGCTAAGGTGCTACAGAGGCAACATTTTAAAGTTGCCATGCTGGGAACTGATTACCTGGGGATACACTGAGGATAGATGAGAGAGGAAAGTAATAAATAAGCTGGGTTGCAAATACTCAGCACCCCATCTTACTGTTGACAGTAAAACCATTCATTTCTAGTTACAGTCTAAGCAAGAGCAAGAGGAAAAAAGAGCTCCAGGTGTGGTCAAATAGTCCAAGCTAGATCTTGACTGCCACTCTCTCATGGTGGAACCCCACCCCTGGTTCTCACTCTGAAACAGCACCTGTACCTGGGCTTCTGGAAGTGTTAAGTTACAAAAACTTGTAACTTGAGCACTTAGCCCAATGCCTAGGATCTCTAAGTGCTCTTTAAACTGCTATCAGAACTGTTGACTTGAACTCTTTGTGAAAACTGAACAAGAATTTTGTGTCTACTGGGAGGGCTTGACAATGCCAAATGACAATAATATACTGTTACCTTGAACTCAAGACTCCCCTCTAGAGCAATGCCCTCAGTCCCTCCTGCCTTGCTCCACCCGCTGTGGGGTTTCCACCGCCAGTTTGTAGCTTCCAATGTGGTCTTTTAACAACCCACTGTAAGTGCCATTGAGCCCAGCTGCTCTCAAAAACAGAAACTCCCTCGCGATTTTCAGAAATGCTGACAGCATGCACACTGTACAGAGGCCCTGTGATTTCACCCCATGAATCTGAGAAGCACAATATTTAAGGGAGGACTGGATGACAAAACCATGATATATAATAATCATGATGAGGTGCAAGCACATGGGTACAGGTGACAGTGATGGGTCCATACTTTTCAGTTGGGCTCATGTGGCTGGATACTGACAGGACCCCTGCCAGTTTTTGATGGCTTTGTACACTTACATACCCCTCAAGCAGTTTGCATAGTTACTTTCAAGGACATTTTCCCATTAAGAACTTTAGTAAGTCTCTAAACCAGCAAAATCAGTATTATGTTAGAAATGTAGAATTCAATTGAAATGTAGATTTGATGGCCCCATCAAGACCTCCTGCATGAGGATCTGCATTTTAACAAGATGCCAGATGACACTGCTTCACAGTATTTAGAACATAACATCCATCCAGATAGAGCTCTGAGAGTAGACTTAGGTTTTTATTTGATCTATTCTTTCCTCTTGGATCAAGTTCATCAACAGCAAGCAGACTGTGTCTTTTTTGGCTGCTGGAACATAGTAAATACTCAATAAATATTTGTCAAATGAATGAATGGGTGACTGGGCAGTCTACCAACTGACGGAAGAGACCTATCCCACTGTAAGTGCAAAGAAAGACAGGAGCAAGGATCTGAAGAAGGGAGGAAGGGAGAGAGGAGGAAAGAGAAAAAGAATCCCTGGGGTGAGGAAAGGTAGTCATTACAGATAAGACCTATTTAAGAGGTGTGAAAATAGAATGAGACATGATAGATGAGAAACTTTTGTGTGAGGGAAGAAGCTGTAGGAGGGAATGGCACCTGCATCTGACACCAGTATTTTCTGGCAAGAAACATTCCAGGAAGAAGATTGGCCAGTAAGAAAGGCTTGTGTGGCCAGCATGCTGTCAGATGACAAGAAAGAGACTCAGGGCTTGTATGTTTGGCTCTGGTGGTGGAACAAAGAAGCTCCAAGGAGGCAGATTCAGAAGGCCCCACAAGGATGAGACTGTGGGGGGAACAGAAAAGCCCCATCTAGAGTCAAAGCCACCATCTCACAGGCTCTCAGAGCTGAGTGTTTCAGGGGCTGGCTCTAGAAGGAAGGAGTCCCTCAGCTATATCTGCTGGACTCTCACCACTGGCCACAACTTCTGCAACCATAAGATTCCAAAGGTCTGCAAAGCAGACACATGGAGATTACTCACAGTTTTTAACAGGTTGACACAGGAACTTGTGGGCAGCCAAGTATTCGAGGGGCCAGTAGTCCAGTCCAGATGTTACCCTGCAGCAGCGCACTGTCAGAGAAAACACAAATGACACATGTCAGTGCAGGAGGCCACATTAACAGATGAGCAATATTCTCACAACACTTGATACTTCTGATGGGTTCAGATTATAAAGAGGGTAGAAAAGGGAAATGTCACACAGGGTTGATGGTGTCAGGGCCCTGTGTAGCCACAGAGCTGGCAAACCTTTTGCCTTCAGTTTGGGAAGACACACCTTCCTACAGCTACAAATCCAGAGCAGCTGCCTCTGCACATCCCCCAGCATGGCGCCCAGACTTATGGCTGGAAAGGGCCCCTATAGATCAGCAGGCCTGAGGCCGTCAGTTCACAGATGAGGAAAGCCAAGTCTCAGAAAGCAGACAGGCCTTACCCAAAACCATCAGCAAATAATGGCAAGACTAGGACTAGAATCACAGAACCAACCCTATAAAGCATAAGTTATCCCTGTAAATTACCTTCCTAATAAAACTCAGCTTCTAAACAAATGTTATTCTTATTCTGTCTGTTAACTGAGGAGGAGACAAAGCAGCCTGCAGTTCCAAATCTTAACTATTCCTCTAGTTCTCTCTCCTTAATCCCAGAAGACTTGCACCAGCCAAACCGAAACTCCTGGTTTTCTTCAAAAACAAAGCTCAAGAAAAACAGAATAGTTCACGTTTGCACAGAGGAAGAAAGCCTAAAGAATTGAGGGGAAAACCTAAAGACAATAAGTCTGAGTTTTTGAGATGTACTGAACACAGAACTAAATGGAAAGCTCCTTTTCCATAATACCAAGTTTGCAAACCCAAGAGATCCTTCTCAGGAAATTCTTAGGGACCAGAGACATTAATACATTTTAAAGGCTGGAGGACTCAGACTTTTGCCAATGCTTCCTTTTGTTGGAATGAAATGGATGATCAAATGCTCGTTCTCTAGGAAATGAGACTTCTGTTTATGATTTTTATTAAGTCTTCATCTAATTTTATATTTAAACATAATCATCTAAATAGTTTTCTCTTCCCCCTGGATTCTACTTCCAGCTGGCCTCAACAAATCAATGCAATCTCGGGCAGATCATGCTTAACCTTGTGGACCTCCAGCCACTCATCTGTAAGATAAGCATGGATAGGACAAACCTCAGGTGTCCTTTGGCTAGAAAATCCTACATTCCCTCACACTTTTGGAACAAAACTGAAAATACTTCACATTAAGTCATCTTATACAAAGTGTAATTACTTGCCTACTTTGTAGAAAAGAAATCTCAGTCCTTATAAATTTAACTTACCATATCTCTTAGGCAATAACTGCTAATTTGGTATAACAGTTGTATTTTCTTTCTAGAGAGTTAGCTTCAAAGGTGACAAATCTGCCCCCAACCTTACTAAATAGGTATTTGAATTTCCTCAATGGTCCAATATTATAAGGCAAAACTTAAGGTTTCTTTTGCATAAAGCAAAATTTAGGCAGTGAGATCATTTGTTTTGAAACTACAGCAACCATACCATTTTTTTCTTTACATGTTAGCATTCTAGTTACTCTGGGTCAAGAAAAGATATAGAGTTCAGAGAAAATCTTCCACAACATGGTCAAGGCTTCCACACTGAAATATCTCAGCATAGCTTACTTACCACTGTTTCCCTTTCAACAAATTAGGCAATCTTCAATAGGACACAGGAAACCAAACAAATGCCAAGAAATGTTTGATAGTCCCAGGATCCATTTTTTAAAAAATATAAAACTCTACCACAATTACCACATCGTTTTCCTTATACCTCAGATTAAGGACCTTTGCTATATTAACATAATATATGAATCCTATTATAATTCTCAACTTCCTATAGCCGCTCTGCATATGGAGCTGGGAATGGCAACCCCTTTTGTAAAGTAATATAAAAGAGTAGAGAGTAGGGAGGAGGCTAGTTTCTTGCAGGATGCATGGTGGAGAGTCTGGCCCTTCTGGTGGTGGCAACATGGCTCAGCACAACTGGAATCCTTACTCCTCTGGACCTGTCAAGAGCTTCAATAGGGACCTTTTTTTAGAAAGCTAGGGTGGGGTTTTGTACTCTATTTTGCTAAACTAAAATAATAATAAACAAATGCACATGTTATTTAGGAATATATACATAGTGTTATCTCTGAGAAGAGGGGAAGTACTTCTAAGCTGTGCACTCCACAAATGTTCATTTTTACTTTTATTTTTTATAACTACCTTCCCCAGCCCCCTTGAAACAGGATTGTGTTGCCCAGGCTGGCCTTGAACTCCTGGGCTCAAGAGATGCTCCTGTCTCAATCTCCCAAGTGCTGGGACTATAAGTATGGACCACAACACCCAGTTTTAAACTCTACCTATACATTTATATCCTTTTCTATTGGTATTTTTTAATAAAGAATTCTTTTAAAGATGCATGTCAGTAACAATGACCCCAAGAGTTATAGCCTAAGTTATTCTCTGCTCCAGTTTAAGACACCAATAAAACTGAAATGAGCCCAGTGTTTGTCAAGGGGTGGGGCCTGACAAGGAACAGTCAGAAATTCTGGCTCCAGGAACATCTTCTATAAATAAATTTTCATTTTTTTTTTAAGTCCACGCCCTAGGACAGTCCTACATTCTGGGCTAATGCCATGCTGACCTCTGATGCTGCCTGCCAGTCTGGGAAAAGCCAGTGTTGGATTTCTGCAGACATGATGGTCTCTCCACTGACACACTCCACAGGCTTATTTCCTGTGGCACATTCTGTTACCAGGAAACTGTCTCCTTATGTTGTCCTCAGCAGCTGAGAACGGAGCAAAGAGTCAGACACTGCAGAGTTGGGAGGAACATTGGGCCACCTCCTTCCCAGGCTGGATGCAGAGGTCTGAGTTCCTTACATGGTCTCCTTTGGTTCACCATTTTATCTTTGTCATGAGAATTCTGCTTAATTGATGGTCAAGTCATCCAGTGACCAGAAAAGTAGGTAAAGGGTATCTCAAGTCCCAGCTTTTATCTTGATCAAATAGAAAATATGTTCTTCTCCTAATAATATGAACAAGAATAAGTTGTCCCCAAAGACTTTCTTGTAATTTTACTAGTAGACAAATTTGTCATTTTTGGTTTTTAAAGTTGCTGTATTAGTTTATGTTTCTAAAACAGAATGTCTGAGAATAGGTAATTTAAAAAGAAATTTCTTATGGTTCTAGAGCCTGGAAAGTCCAAGAATAAGGGGCCATATCTGGATGGTCTTCATTCTGTGCCATTCCATGGCAGAAAGTAGATGGGCAACAGAAGGCCAAAGAACAACAGGGGTGTCAAACTCACTTCAGTAACAAAACCCACTCAATATAACTAACAACTCCCTTGACAATGACATTCATCCACGTATAAAGGCAGAATCCTCATGGTTTAATCACTATCATTGCACTGGGATTTAGGGGGTACACATTCAAACCATAGCAGTCACAATAGCCAAAAATTGTCATCATGATACCCAATCACATTTTAAGCCCTTCCGGGCAGCTTTCACATCATATCTACTCAGGGTAAAGCACAATTGTCTATGCCTAAAGAAGGAAATAATTTCAGTCCCCTATTTCTTACTAAGAATCTTTCTACTTCTCTCCTAGCTAAAGTTTGCTGCTTAAAGAAGAAAAAGCAAAATTCAGATTACAGACCCCATTTTTCAATGTATCACCTTCCTCAAAAGTAAAACATCCCACTGGATTCTGCCAACTTTCCTGAGTGGGAAATGGACATGGCCTATGCGTGTGTATGTGTGTGTGTGTGTGTGTGTGTGTGTGTGTGTGTGTGTGTGTGCAAGCATACACACTTAGACTTATACATATACATACACACACACACACACACACACACACACACACACACACACACAGTCGCAGGCCCAAAATTCTTGATCTACTCAAAACAATAGCTTTACAGGGAAACCATTTGCTAAGAGCTCAGGAAAAGTAAAAGCCTGCCAATTTCAGCAGGACAAAGGATTCAGCAACTAACAGGGGAACAAAATGATCTCACAAGCCTTTCCCACTGAGCCTATGCATGAGTGGGATCCTTCTCGAATTCAGAATGCTCCCTCTCAGACATAGTCACTGTTTCCACCCTAGGGGACCCAGGCAGGAAGATGGCTAAGCCAGGAAACAGATTCTAGGGGGTAGCTCTTTGATGTTTGACCCAAAAGAATCTAACAACCTGGGCTCCTTAGCCAAAGGGGGGCTGAAACTCTCAATGAGGAGTGAGACCCTGGCCTACCCACAGGCATTAGTCACTACTTCCAGCAGCTAGTTCCTTTCAATCAAGGGCCTGGGCCAGGACTGAAAGGGAACTCTGTGATAACAGCCCTGCATCTCTGAGGCCTAAGACTGTACTAAAACTTAGCTCCCAGTGACTCACTCTAGTGGATCCATGACAAGTCTCAGAACAGGAGCAGGAAAAGGCCACATGCTCCAGGTCTCATGTTGCCCCTGCATTATCACACCAGCAGCCCCAACACTTCTGGAGCAGACACGGGGCCAAGACGAATGGCATGCAACCTATGGGTAGTTGTGGGATGTGTGGGCAAGCTTAGGTACGTGGCCCTGCTCTGCCTCCTTATTAGATACAGAAGTGCCAGACACTGTTCTAAGCACTCAAAGAGGAAGGGGGAGGTACTCCAAGGCATAAAGACTTTGTTGACACCTCTTCATGTTCAGTAGGAGCTGTACTCTTTCATCCTTAGAAAGAGGCTATATCAGGACAATAGTGCTCTTAGATTATTATTTCATTAGTTCCAATAGACCTTCCATAAAAAGAACTTCAGAGCATTATTGATTTATTCTATAGGCAACACATGAAGAATCCCTTGAATAATTCCAACAATAAAATAGCCTCAGTCCTACCTAAGACTTCAGGGGCAGGAGGAAACCCCAAATTTCTGCCTTCCTGGAAGGTTACCAAGTGAAGACACTGTTTTTGAGACAGGCTGTCAGCTCATCTCCTCTTCCTCCCTCAGCTACACTACATCCCTTGCCTGGCTCCCCAGAATTCTCCTGTGCCTGTT